ACAACCAAGCGGGCAGCAAATTGAAAGTGAAATACATAAAAAGCAAATGAAAAAAATGCAAACGAATGTTTTTGTGTTTGTAAATAATAATAAAAAAGTGAATAGCGGAAAAAGAATTCTCGGTTGGTTTTACTGGCCCATAATTTGTTTATGCCACTACGTCTTGACCTTTTGGAGATACATAGGTAGTAAATGTTCATATAACGGGTGATTTTTTTGAGGTTAGGATTTTCATGCATTAGTATTTGACAGATCACGTGGGATTTCAGACATGGTGTCAAAGAGAAAGATGCTCAGTATGCTTTGACATTTCTGGTTGAATGGCTTCGTAAATAAGCAAAATTGCCGCATTTGGAGTGAAGAGCAACCAGAAGCCGTTCAAGAACTGCCCATGCATCCCGAAAAATGCACTGTTTGGTGTGGTTTGTACGCTGGTGGAATCATTGGACCGTATTTTTTCAAAGATGCTGTTGGACGCAACGTTACGGTGAATGGCGATCGCTATCGTTCGATGCTAACAAACTTTTTGTTGCCAAAAATGGAAGAACTGAACTTGGTTGACATGTGGTTTCAACAAGATGGCGCTACATGCCACACAGCTCGCGATTCTATGGCCATTTTGAGGGAAAACTTCGGAGAACAATTCATCTCAAGAAATGGACCGGTAAGTTGGCCACCAAGATCATGCGATTTGACGCCTTTAGACTATTTTTTGTGGGGCTACGTCAAGTCTAAAGTCTACAGAAATAAGCCAGCAACTATTCCAGCTTTGGAAGACAACATTTCCGAAGAAATTCGGGCTATTCCGGCCGAAATGCTCGAAAAAGTTGCCCAAAATTGGACTTTCCGAATGGACCACCTAAGACGCAGCCGCGGTCAACATTTAAATGAAATTATCTTCAAAAAGTAAATGTCATGGACCAATCTAACGTTTCAAATAAAGAACCGATGAGATTTTGCAAATTTTATGCGTTTTTTTAAAAAAAAAAGTTATCGAGCTCTTAAAAAATCACCCGTTAGCATTGCTTTTGATGGTTTATTTGAAAATACTACTAATTCTATACCTTGAGCATTTCTTCCTGTTTGGAATGCTTGGGTAATGGACAATTTCATAAACTAGTTCTGAGTGATTTCTAATAATCGAAGAGAAGTTTTTTTCACCACAATAACTAAACATAATAAGCGCCGTTAATCAATCGTTTTAACCATTTCAAGGTAATCCTTTTAAATAAGAGCTGCGCATGCCCAAAGTTTTTCGGGTTTTTAAAGGCTTTTCAAAATATTTGCGAATTTTTTTCGGGCCCGTTACCGGTTTTTTCAAGCCTTCGAGTTTATGCCAAGAATTTTGCCATTTTCTTGAGCCTTAGTGTTTTCTTTTTCGGTATATTTTTTCGAGACTTTTCGAAATTTTTTTCTTACAAATTTACTCCTTTCCACTTTGCTAAACAACTATGATAAGAAAACAATCGTTCTTTGGCCAAAGTTGGGAACCAAATTAAAATCTGCTGAAAGATGTGTACTCTGTATTTTATTTTACAATTACATTTGCCATATTTTTTAGTTTAATTTTTTATTTTTGTTCAAGGGTAACACGTTGACAAAAAAATTTTAAAACTGCTCTTTCCATATTTCGGATTTTCTAGCAAATAAGCGACGTTTTTCCAGCAAATGAGCGATATGAAAATCTTTACAATCCTACATATCTGTGAAATTTTGATAAAAAAAACGTTAGGCTATTTTTTTTTAATCAATATTTTATTGGGTTACAAACAATATTTTAAAGATACTTGTCATAGGTGTAGTTAAGATGCTTTTTGAATTAAAACTTAATAATAATAAACAAAATTTTGTAAAGAAACGTCTTTTTTAATGCAAAGTTAAAACTTCTAAAGTCACATAAGTTGTTTTATCAAAATGCCAAAGATATTATACGCACACAACTATGTTTATGTGTACATACATATTTCCACAAAATGCTAGGCAAAGCTGCTGAAGATGTGGGGCTATCGCTGTAAACAGCTGAAATAAATAATTTTCCAATCGAATGCACCAACGATAGCCGAGCCTACTACAAGTGAGATGGAGGAGCGTACCACGAGGTAATGAAAGACATTACAAATGCAATAACGACAATGGAAAACCGATTAAACAACAATGATAATGAAAACACAAAAAAATTAAATAAATAACAAGTGTATGTGTGTTGGTATAACAAGACGAACGATAGGGGCGGGGGGGGGTCATAAAGCCAAATATTGCAACACGTTTCTGTGCGCAGAGCATAATTGTTAGAAGTGATTAAAATGCCATATACAAAGAAAAAAAAAACACATACACCACCAAACCAAAAGCATTACAACATCATAAAGAAAAATTAAAATAAATTATATGTATGTTTCTCTAGCAGCTACTCAACAGCAAAAAAAATTAAATATGTACTACATGTGCGAGCGCAAGAAATCCTAAATGAAAAACAACAACACTACTGGGCGCTACAATATTCAAAATTCCGAAATATACACATTTAATTTTGGAAGCAATAAACAAGTTTTTATAGCAGGCAGATTTTGGAATATACCAATACATATGCACAAAAGTATAAATATGTATGTATGTACAAACCCAGCAAAAACGTTGATTCTTGTATGCGCTTATTTACAAATAGGGGATTCATAAGACGTGTGTGTTAGTCGTCGTAAAATCTTAGGCTTAGCATTTTTTATTTAAAATAACAGTTAAAATGGTTTTAGGGAGGCTTAATTATATATTTTTTTATCAGTTTAAAAACATTTCGGTGTACGCTTTTTCGCTTACCCATTTCATTACGCGTAATGTATTTTGTAAACTTGAAGGTGTAGGTGGTGCATCTCGATTGGTAAGCACTTCACCACTTACCTTCAAGTTTAACAAAATGCATTACTTTAACCAGAGCACGTCACTGGAGGCAAGCGAATAAGCTTACCCACTGATTTACATGTAATGCAATGGGTAAGCGAAAAAAAGAGAGAGAAGAGACCTAAAATAGTTTCAGAAATATGCTGCTGATGTTGCAGTATTGGCCACGTATACTAATTATACATACAAACATAGGTATGAAGAAGACATTCATATAATGTCGAGGGAAAAAAGTTGGAAAATTTTATGAATAAAAATTATTATCAGGTTTTTGCAACAAAAGTGGTGAATGCATATCTCTCCATTTAACCTTCTCTAAATCTTAAGTTGTGTCCCCTCGTTTCGGATTGAATGAGGGTTAAGGAGTGTAAATTTCTTCAGTCATAATTTCCGCTGTTCTTTTAATGATAAACTGAATGTTTTTTTTATTGTTGTTTAGAGCACATTCCCTCGTTAAGTGAGACCACACGCAAATCACAGTTTATCAGCACAACATTTGGTATGGGGAGATATGAAGGAAACAATGTACATACATATTTCAAGACTAGAAGTTAATTTTTGCCATCAGTGTATTTATGTCGCCTCTATCTTCAAAAATGCATACCATATTTCTACGATATTATAAGCTAATTTATAAATATGCATTGTACAATGTACATACTTATGTATTTATGAATGTCTCCTCCAATATCATGTTAGCATGCACAGAGCGAGCAGCTTCTAAGATTATTATTGTATAAATTGTGGAGCGTAGTAGTATAGGATGGCGTCACTAGCCATAGTTGTCTAGTCATCACAGGGGAGAAGCGCAATAGAGCTGGAAGTTATATTTATTTTGATACATACAAATGAGCATCGTGTACGAATAAAAGCTAGTAAGTAAGTATGGCGTAGTTAGTATATGCTTCGTAAGTGTATGTACATACATATGTATATGCTAAGCCTCGCAAGCTCGAAATGACTATGGTCATCATATATGATGTGATTACTACGCTGACACCACCAGCAGCAGCCACACAAGAGCAATAAAGGTGGAATGCAATAACACAAAAGCAATTAGCTTGTCTATGTAGTAGACACTTTGTAACAATTTTTAAGGAAAAATATAGCGAATCGCTGCTGGATAATAGCTAGTAAGGAAAATAACTGATTGCACACATACATACGTACACCCTTGTTTTGTTAAATATTCACAATGTTTTGCAAGCTATTTTTTTTTTGTTATTTCTGTACAAAAATATGGTTCATGCTGCAAACAAAACTATGGGAAAAATAAAATTTTTCGTAGAAATGGTATAGAATTCTTGAAAATCAATATTTTTAGTACGGAAAATTGTGGTTCTCTTCAGGTTACTTTCGATAATATACCGAATGGTTTATTTAAACATATATTAATACTAACGGATTTTTAATGGTCTTTTTGCGGATCTATAAATTATAGTTGCGATAAAAAAATGGTTAAATAAACATATTGATTTTTAACTATTCTATACCATTTCTACGAAAAGTGTTTTTTCCCCGTATAAAATACATGGAAAACTTTGAGCACTTTGAGCGACCTCTAAATAATTTTTGGTTTCAAAATAAAAAAATAAGGGTATATTTTTTCGGTATAGAACAATCCTAGAGGGGTGAGAGCATAAAAATTCCGACATTACTTTTTCACATTCATTTTTGGGCCACCCTAATGTACATACATACATACATATCATGTATTAACAAATTAATGTTTTTTGTGACTATCACCACTGATGATGTGGATGCTAAATTAAGTGAATTTATTTTTCTGTTATAGCCATTAATTGTTCTTATACATATGTGTTTGTAAATACTATTTACCTACCAAATCAATGTACACTCC